GTTGGATAAAGCACAGGGACAAATAGCCAAATGAATGGAAACACATGAACTATGAACCAATGGCTGAGGGGTCCCCACTGGATCAGGCCCTCAGAATGGATGAGACAGTTGATTGGCTTGATCTGTTTGGGAGGCATCCAGGCAGTGGGACCAGATCTTGTGCTCATTGCATGAGTTGGCTGTTTGAAACCTGGGGCCTATACAGGATTGTTTGGCTCGGCCTGGGAGGAGGGGACTAGACCTACCTGGACTAAGTCTACCAGGTTGACCTCAGTCTGTGGGGAAGGCTTTGCCCTGGAGGAGATGGGAATGGGGGGGGGGGGGGTCGGGGGGAAGGTGAGGGGGACGGGAGGGGGGAGAACAAGGGAATCCGTGGCTGATATGTAGAACTGAATTGTATTGCAAAATAAATTAATAAAAAAAAAATGTGATAAAAAAAAAAAAAAAAAAAAAAGAAAAAGAAGCAGTTATTAAAAGTCTCCCAACAGAAAAAGAGTACAGGGCCAGATGGTTTTAGTGCAGAATTCTACTAGACTTTCAAAGAAGAATTAATGCCAATACTCCTCAAATTATTCCACGAAATGAAACAGAAGGAACATTGCCCAAATCATTTCACAAGACCACATTTATCCTGGTACCCAAACCACATAAGACCCCACAAAGAAAGAGAATTACATATCAATTTCCCTTATGAACACAAATGCAAAAATTCTCAATAAAATATTTGCAAGCCAAATCCAATAACATATCAAAAAGATCATCAACCATGATCAAACAGGTTTCATTTCAGAGATGCAGTAATGGTTCAACATATGAAAATCTGCCAATGTAATCTATCACATAAACAAACTGAAAGACAAAAACCACATGATCATCTCATTAGATGCAGAAAAGGCCTTTGACAAAATCCAACATCCCTTCATGATAAAAGTCCTGGAGAGATTAAAGATACAAGGAACATACCTCAATGTAATAAAGGCAGTTTACAGCAAACCCACAGCCAACATCAACTTAAATGGAGAGAAACTCAAAGCAATTCCACTAAAATCAAGAACAAGACAAAGTTGTCCACTCTCTCCATACCTATAGTACTTGAAGTCTTAGCTAGGGCAAGGAGGAAACTGAAGATTAAGCAGCTACAAATAGGAAAGAAGAAGTCAAAGTATCTTTCTTTGCAGATGATTTGATAGTATACATAAGTTACCCAAAAGGTTGCACCAGGGAACTCCTGCAGCTGATAAACCTTTTCAGTGTAGTGGCTGGATACAAAATTAATCCCCCCCCCCAAAATCAGTAGCCCTCCTATATACAAATGACAAATGGACTGAGAAAGAAATCAGGGAAATAATACCTTTCACAATAGCTTCAAATAATATAAAATATCTTGGGGTAACTCTAACCAAGCAAGTAGAAGACTTGGATGATAAAAACTTCAAGTCACTAAAGAAAGAAATTGAAGAAGATATTAGAAGACAGAAAGATCTCCCATACTCATGGATTGGTAGGATTAACACAGTAAAAATGGCCATCCTACCAAAAGCAATCTTCAGATCCAGTGCAATCCCCATTAAAATTCCAACTCAATTCTTCACAGATCTTAAAAGGAAAAAATTCAGCTTCATATGGAAACACAAAAAACCCAGGATAGCTAAAACAATCCTGAATAATAAAAGAACTGCAGGAGGTATCACCATCCCCAATTTCAAGTTGTACTACAGAACTACAGTAATAATAATTTTTTTAAAAAAGCATGGTATTGTCACAAAAATAGACACACTGATGAAGGGAATTGAATTGAAGACCCAAACATAAATTCACACATCTGTGGACAGCTGATTTTTGATAAAGAAGCCAGAAACACACACTGGAGAAAAGACAGCATCTTCAACAAAAGTGCTGGTCAAACTGGATGGCTGCTTGTAAACGAATCCAAATATACCAATACTTATTATCCTGCACAAAACTCAACTCCAAATGGATCAAAGACCTCAACATGAAACCAGATACACTGAACCTCATACAAAGAGAAAGTGGGGAATAGCCTTGAACACATTGGCACAGAAAAAAACCTTTCTGAACAGACGCCATTAATGCAGGCACAAAGATTGACAGTTAACAAATGAGGCCTTGTGAAACTGAGAAACGTCTGCACAGCAAGGGACACTGTCATCCAAACAAAGTGGCAGCGTACAGAATGGGAAAAGATTTTACTAACTACACTTCCAATAGAGCGCTAATCTCCAAAATATATAAAGAACTCAAAAAACTAGATATCAAGAAAATAAACAGCCCAGTTAAAAAAATGGGATAAGGATCTAAACAGAGAATTCTCTGTAGCAGGCTTTCTCTTGGGCCACCAACCAGCTCCCAAATCATGATATGGAGACTTATTATCAGATATGAATGCCCACTTAATCTTATGCTTGTCCTACTAGCTCTTGTAACTTAATTTAATCTGTTTCTCTTCATCTACATGTTGCCTTGGGCTTTTTACCTTTCTGTCATTCTGTATGTCCTACTCTGTGCCTGGCTGACTGCCGGCTGCCTGGCTGACTGGCCCTGGGCGTCTCCCTCTCTTTCTCCCTTGTTCTCTCTTGCTCCCCAGTTTCCTCCTCCTATTTATTCTCTCTGCCTGCCAGCCCCACCTATCCCTCTTCTGCTTCACTATTGGCCATTCAGCTTTTTATTAGACCAATCAGCTGCCTTAGGCAGGCAAAGCAACACATCTCTACATCATTAAACAAATGCAGCTTAAACAAAAGTAATGTATCTTTACATAGTTAAACTAATATTCCACAACAATTCTCAATAGAGGAAACTCAAAATATTGAGAAATACTTCAAGAAATGTTCAACATCCTTAAACATAAAAACCAAAACTAGCTGGGTGATGGTGGCACATGCCTTTAATCCCAACACTTGGGAGGCAGAGGCAGGCGGATCTCTGTGAGTTCGAGACCAGCCAGGTCTACAGTGTGAGTTCCAGGACAGCCAAGGCTACACAGAGAAACCCTGTCTTGAAAAAACCAAAAAAAAAAAAAAAATCAAAACTACTTTGACATTCATCTTACAAATGTCAGAATGGCTAAGATCAATGAAACAAGCAACAACTCATGTGGGAGAGGATGTGGAATAAGGGGAACACTCATCCCTTGCTGGTGGGAGTGCAAACTTATACAGCCACTATAGAAATCAGTGTGGTGGTTCCTCAGGAAGACGGGCATCAATCTACCTCAAGATCCAGCTATACCACTCTTGGGCATATATATACACAAAGCACACTTCATCCCACAACAGAGACACTTGGTCAACCATGTTCATTGCTGCTCTGTTCATAATAGCCAGAGGACTAGAGGGTCGGAAAGATCTCATTAGGGGAAAGAAATAGAATAAATAGTTAAGGATGATTGGGGAGATTTCTGGCACAGGAGGATCAAGTGGGGAGAGGGGGGGAAGAGTGCAAGACAGGAAAAATTCAGCCCCCTTTGATGGGTAGTTTAGAAACCTTCTACAGCAAAAACCTCCTAAAACATATACATATATGAAGGCAATCTAAGTGAAATCACCAAGTAATAGGGGAGACAGAGTCCCAACTGGCCATCTCTGGTCACCAAATGAAGCTGCCAGAATTGGAATTGAATTACATCTAATTGAGTTGTTGGCCAAAGGGTACCATGGGAACCCCCAACAACCCAGGCCATTGCCAAGACTATAGGTTGTTCTCCACAAACTGACAGCAAGACCTCATTGCTGAAGATAAAGCCTACTCAACTCACTGAACATGGAGGGGTCAAGCTGGTGCTACATAGAGCCTTCACCCCTAGGTTCTAGTATCTTTGGTACAGGAAGGTACTCTGTATGCTACCAAAAGATAAACATGACCACCAATCCAGCCACAAACCCTTTGATCTACAGTGGTGTCCTGCCTGCCAGAAATGCTATGACAACGGTGGCACATAGCTTGAGGGGGTAATGAATCAATGTCTGATTTGACTTAACACCAACTCCACAATATGGAACCAATACCCTACACTGCTTGGGCAACTAAAAACCAGAGATTAGATAGCCCAGGAAACTGGGGTAAAACCAAATGCTGTTGTTCTTAAATGTCTCCAGCTAACTGTTTGTCTTATTGAAGCCCCCCTGTAGCTGCTGAGACAGATGCCAGGACGTGGTTTCTACCTCAAAAACCCTGTGCTCTGGACACTCAGTGCTACACTTAGGTCTGGAATACCTGAGTGTAGTCCCAGCTGGCTGGAATAAAGTCTTCAAACTGGCAAAATAAAATGAAATAAAATTGTCATAATTTCTTAGAGATACACTCAACTTAATACTTGATACTAAATACCCTCCAGTCAGCACATGTTCCATTAACAAGTCACATCTCACCATCCCCGAAATATCTTTTCTTGACAAAAGATCTAGGACACAGATGTGACATGTAGAGCAGAGCAAAGCCTTTGCGGATAAGCTTCCTTTACACCCCAGATGTCAGTCTTTATGTGCTCTTGTTTGTTGTGCCTGTTAGAGAGGTAAATGCAACATCCTGATTTCTGTGAGCTGAATAGTCCATAACTTCTACCAAAGGCATCACAAAATGAATTCCAACCAGTGCCCCAACCCGTCTTGATGAATTGAAACACCCTATTCTATGAATTAAATAAAAACTTTCTTATGCTGTATTCCCCTTTAACCACACAATTCCACCTTGTGAAGCTACGGTTTGGAATGAGACTCTTTAGCACTCCCTTTATAGAAATGAACTTCTCCTCTGATGCTTTGTCAGAAGACTAGAACACAAATACAATGACTGCCATGTCTGATAGCTATGGAACTCTTGGTTGGAGAAAAGGGAGGCATTTAGACAAAGCACTAGACTGTTTCACAACTATCCCTTACCAGCATGAAAAGACTCAGGTAAGCACTTTAAGAACAAGTTATAACAGATATTCATATGATATCATATAAATGGTTATATTTTGGAAGACCATTCCAACTCACTTGGGCCATGACTTAAAATTTCAAGAGTTGACCAGTTCTCTTCTGGATTCTTCTGTCAACAAAGTAGAGTCTTGAGAAAGTAGAGCTAGAGGGAAAGAATCGTGAGAGGTTAGGTTTTCTTTGAAGCATGGTTTAGTTACTATTCTACTGCTGTGAATAGACACCATGATCAAGAAAGACCAAGGCAACTCTTAAAAGGAAACACGTAATTGGGGCCTTGCTACAGTTTTAGAGGGTTAGTCCATGATCATGGTAGGAAACAGAGAGGCATGGTACTGGAGCAGCAGCTGAGAACTTTACATCCTAATCTGAAGGCAGCAGGCAGAGAGAGAAAAAGAGAGACAGAGAAACAGTGATAGACAGACACACAGAGAAAGAGACAGAAAGACAGACACTGGGCTTGGCATGGGCTTTTGAAACTTCAAAGCTTACCCCACCCCCACCCCTGCCGCCATGACTCGCCTCTTCCAATAAGGCCACACCTTCTAATCCACATTCAAACACGAGTTTAGGGGGGCCATTCTCATTCAAACCACCAGAGCTTTCAAATGGAAAAATGGGAAGGCCTGTTTTCTTCCTTGGAGGAAGGACATAGGGAATCTGAGGAAATTGTACCCCTTTGCAAAACCAGAGTTACTCAACTAAAGAGAGATGATTTGAATTCAATTAGTTATACCCAAACCATGACAAAGGCCAGAATATGGAATAGGATCGCTCTTTCTTTCCCTAAATGGCCCGTATAACTACCCCATTTCTGAAATAGACACCTTACGGTCACCTCAAGGCTGGTGGAAATCTCTCACCTGGAAGCCCACCCCATCTGCCCCGGACTCACCTGTGTATGTCTACAACCAATGCCTCTACCCTCTCCATGTCCAGCAACGGTCTATGATACCTCTGAGTCATTTTCATTCAGACACTATGACAAGAGCCACACCACAAAACTAAAGACTAGTTTGAAGCCTAAATAAACCCTGAATAGACCCATCAGATATTCCTGAGATGACTGATGAGGTGATAAATAAGAAAAGCCCCCCACAGACTCATGTATTTAAATGCTTGGTCCCTGGTTGCTGAACTGTTTTGGGAAGGATTAGGAGACGCGGTCTTACTGGAGGAATGTACTAGAGGTGTGCTCCTCTCCAGGCCCAGTCTCTCTCTCTCTGAAACTATAAGCAAGCCTCCAATTAAATACTTTCTTTTATAAGTTGCACTTGGTGATGGGCTTTTGAAACCTCAAAGCTTACCCCACCCGCACCCCTGGTCATGGTGACTCTTTACAAGCAGTAGGGAAGCAGTTTCCACCGGAGGACAAAGAGAACTGTGTACACAGTCTTTGGCTCAGCGGGCCCATAGGTCTCCGGTAACATCCAAGCCCCATCATTCTTGCTCTTTTCCTTCCTTGCGTCACCATCCCGACAGCATCTTCCCTCAGTGTGAATCCTTACAGAAAGCAAAAACACAGTTCTGATGGGCCATGCCCTCGACAGGATGAAAGCAATAAAATACTAAGTAAAATTACGTTTGTGTACTTGGTGTAGATGCATACATGTGTATTCTACCGAGAAATATGGACAGATTTGAGACTATCTAAAAGTAGGCACAATAGCATTACAATTCTGTGTTCTTTACCTAAGAATCATCAATGATGTTTTTATCTGTATTAATCCATATTTATAATTTTCTGTGAAAGGCAGTAATTATCCTAATTTAAAAGACCAGAAACTGGTCACTGCTTGTCTAATGACTACTTCTTAAAACAAAATGCTGGAACAATCTATGAACAATCTATGAAAACTTCGTTTACGTGGCAATTGAAAATGCTCAGTAAAATCCAACCCTGAATCTTTTAACAATAGATGGAAACTGAAATTTAATAAAGCAAGCCATGGGGCTGGAAAGGTAACTTAGGGCTAAGAGCACTGGCTGCTCTTCCAGAGGACCCAGGTTCGATTCCCAGCACCCACATGTCTCTACCGCCAGTTCTGGGGAAGCCAGTGCCTATGACTTTATTGGACCCTGAATGCATGTGGTACACATACATAAATGCAGGCAAAATACCCGTACACATAAAATAATCAAATGAAAATAAGTTTTAAAAAATGAAAATAAACCTCAATGTGAAGTAGTGAAAGTTTTGAAAGGCTGTATCTATAAAGAATTGAATTCATATGTAAGCTATGAAAATGAAAAAGAGAGGGCCTTTAAGGCATGCTAAAAAAAAAAAAAAGTAAAACAAGATACTGATAAAGACAGAATTACAGCTAAAAATTCTCATTAATGCCTAACATGGTGGCGCAAGTCTTTGGTCCCAGCACTCGGGTGGCAGAGGCAAGCAGATCTCTGTGAGCTCGAGGTCATCCTGGTCTACAAAGAGTTCCAGGACAGGTAGAAATACACAGAGAAACCCTGCCTCAAAAAAAACAAAACAAAACAAAAATAATCTAAACCAAGGAGCTACCACTAGCAACACATCCAGTACTCGGATATACACTAAGTGGGTCCCTCCTCTTCCCCCATCATTAAGATCACACATTCCTTCCTAGAAAGGTGAGACCCTCCCGCTTCCACTTCCAACCCCTGGCCTGCAGCCCTTGGGATCAAGACAGACTAAGGTGTGTACTATGAACTGCATATGAACCATCTGCCCGAAACCTCTTCTCTTTTCAGAGGCCCCGCCATGCTATTTTCCTGGAGTTGGAATCTCGTATCTGCCTGGAAATGGGATTTAGAGGTTTCGAATTTCCCACAGCCTCTGCCACCCAGGTGATCCACATCCAGGGGATGATACACATCATCACCACGTGCGTAGATCAAAACACACGCTACAGTGTTACCCTCCACCTTCATTAGGCTACCCAGAACCTTGGTGAGTCCCCGCCATTCCTTCCATCTAACCCGAACAAAGTTTCTCTGAATCCACATGCCTTCCAGAACCCCAGTCTCACCAGGAAATCGATCACTTACACCTACAGGGCTGGGCCCGAGGCTTCCTCTCGCCAGACTCCCCAGGCTGGTTTGGTTTCAGACACTCAGGTCTCACATTTGGATTCGCTCTTGGGTTAGGAAGCGTGGTCCTAAAGTGGTCTGCCTCCACAGCTCCCTGCGCCCGCAGCCAGCGAGCAAAAAAAAAAACCAAAAAACAGCAGCCAGCTTCTGAGCGGCTTCTCAGGGTCTGTTCGGTAATCCCAGCCTAGCCTCCACCTCCTGACCTGGTCAAACATTTCCCTCGTACCTGAACTACAGTTCCCAGGAGGCCATGCGACCCTGTACGACACCAGCTGGGTGGCAGTAGCCAAGGATTCCTGAAGGGACCTAGACTGGGTTGTGTGAAGGAAAACTTGTCAATAGGCAATAGTCCCCGCAGTAATGTTCAGATTCAATGCACTCTATCAAATTTTCAATGGTCTTTGGAGAAATAAAGCCAACGTTCACATGCTTAGGTAACTGCAGTGGGTTCCATAGAGCCAAAACAATATCGAGAACAGAAACCAAAGCAGGAGGGCTCATACCTTTCAACTTTAAACTTCTTCAGTCTTTTGTTTTGTTTTGTTTGTTTTTTAGAGACAGGGTTTTTCTGTGTAGCCCTGGCTGTCCTGGAACTTGCTCTGTAGACCAGGCTGGCCTCGAACTCACAGAGATCTGCCTGCCTCTGCCTCCAGAGTGCTGGGATTAAAGGCATGTATTGCTACTGCCTGGCCCAGTATTCAAAATCTTATGATACTGGCATAATGAGAGATATACGGACCAGTGGAATAAGAAAAGCAAGAATCTAAAAACAAACCCTAAAATCTATGGGTAATTGATGTTCTTTCTTTCTGGTGTTAAAATTAGATTTTTCTGTCTTTTGCCATCTGAAAATTAACCTCCTGGACTACTTTATTATAAAATGCCATAAAAAGGGCTGGAGAGATGGCTCAGCAGTGAAGAGCAGTGATTGCTACTCCAGAGGACCTGGGTTCAATTCCCAGCAGCCACATGGAAGCTCACAACTGTAACTCCAGCTCCAAGGGAGCTGGCACCTTCTCACAGACATACATACAGGCAAAACACTAATGCACACAAAGTAAAAATAAAGAAATCTTTTTTTTTTTTTGGTTTTTCGAGACAGGGTTTCTCTGTGTAGCTTTGCGCCTTTCCTGGATCTCACTCTGTAGACCAGGCTGGCCTCGAACTCACAGAGATCCGCCTGCCTCTGCCTCCCGAGTGCTGGGATTAAAGGCGTGCACCACCACCGCCCGGCAAGAAATCTTTTTTTTAATGCCACAAACCACATTCTAATCACAGAGGAATCTTCCTTCTCCATTGTTCATTCATTCAACATTTTAACATTTCATTTTGAACATGCTGCATCTGGATTGCTCTCTTTTCTACTTCCTTCAATTTATGTGCAATTTTTATTATTTGGCCTGATTTTTCCTACAAGTATCTATTTAACTACGAAGCAACCCTGAGAATAGGTATGATTAGTTTTACTCATATTTGTAGACGACCCTAGATTCACCCTATGAAAGGTGAGGTGAGCACATTTACTACCTTCGCAAACCTACTGATGATTTTTAAAAATCAAATCAAACCACTGTTTAGAACAAGTGACACAATCTGTCTTTCTAAATATCTCCCTGCACCTCCAGTGCAGTCCTTTGGTCTCTTTTTCTTAAATTGCCTACTCATATTTGAGAATTGAATAAGGTATCACTGTTTATAAAAATTAGTATGAGTTAAGCCTGTCATGTCTATTATAAAAGCTTCATTTTGCCTGGAACCCCAAATTGTGAGTGCTTGCCTTTATATTTTCTTTCAGGCTGAATCAAGGTTGAGACCAAGAAATTATTTCTGAGAAAGGATATTTATGGACTAGAATCATCCTGATGAGAGATCATAAAAAGGTTTACAAAACACAGTATTAAGAGTTCAAGTGACTGGGAATGTAAAAGCCAGTTTGAGAGAAAATAGGGATCTTGGGTAGGACTTTTCAGTTGAATGATATTTACTCCTGAAGACATGCTCATGTTTAGTACCCATAACCAACTAATTCATACCAAGAAACTCCTTGAATGTAAGGAATGTGGAAAGGATTTTAGTTT